AAAATATAAGGTCTAAAACCCGTGTTTGGTTTTTTTTTGGGGGGGGGGGGGTTGTATTTATTTTGGATTTTGACCTATTAGAATGAACTTTTTCAACCTTTTCTGTCCAACCACATTTGCCAGAAATTTACTTTAAAAAGTGAAGCTGGCATTCTTGTCTAATAACCTGGCACGTACAGCTTGGATTTTAAGAAACAGTAAAAATTGTGTGACTTGTGAAATGGCAGCACTTTTCAACTCCATCCAATGAAACAAATTGCATCTACAGGATCCTAGGGAGAAACAAAAATTCTCTAATGGAAAGAGGGTCTCTAAAACAGAAGGCTTTTGTGAAAAGGGGGTTGTGCTTCTGAAATGTTTTAACCTTAAAGCCATTTGGTTTGTTTATGCAGGTTCAGCAGAACTCACTACCAGCAAATCCTTAACAACTTCAGGTTAGTAGCTTGTGTGTTACTGTGATTTCCATTTTGCATGGAAGATTTTGGTATGTCTATGAAATCTATGAAATCTGTTTAGTTGTATACATTATGGGGTCATACTTTCAAACTCTCTAGAAGTTCTCCTTAACTAAATTGGGAGACCCAGGCCCAAGCACAGTTTGCAGGATCACATCCCATACACAGCATCCATGTTTCCTAATCATGGACTGTAAGAGAGATTTTGAAAAGCACAAGTAGCAGTGGTTTTCAGTGGAAATTAGGCACCTATACTTGCTATTTGAAAATCTCTCACAGCTTCATTAATTGGTGCAAATAGTGCAAAATGCAGACACATTTCCAGATGTGTCTGGGACTATATAATTTTATCCATCAGTTATTCAAACTTCATTGTTATTTAAAGAATCCTTTAAAATAGAATAATTAGTAGAAAATGTAAATGTTTTTGTCTCCAGCAGATGGCACTGCAGTTTAGTTTTCTGAGTTAAAAAACATGGAGTTGAAAACTTGTGAACACAACATGGTTATTCCATGTTATTTTCACAATAAGTTCATGCATGCGGTGGGTATGTGGTGTAGTTTTGTGTTTTTCTGTGTGTTTGAAGTAAACTATGTTTAGACATGTCAGCAGGGAGACATCAATACCGTGGTACAGGAGTTCATGTGTTTTGTTTTACATGTTGTATGTAAGGTTGCAGAGCTTATCCCTGGTAGCCAACCAGGAGGAAGCTGTAGTCCCATAGAGCATTGTCAGGGCCCAAGCCAATCTTCCCATTTTGCATAAAATAACTGTTATTACAAACAATGTGTATGGACTACTATCTGAGTGCTAAATGGCAGATAAACTTGCCAATACTATCACTAAGCAAGACAAATACAGAGGGAAATAGCCTCCTATCCACATACTAGTTAATGGATTGAATTTCCAAGAGTCCTAGCTACCAATCTTCAGGCCTAGTCCTATTCCATTATCGAAACTCATAGAAACTTAATGGGGACGGAACAGGATTCCTGGGCCCTGAACCTACAAATGGATGGATATCTATGTCTATGGGAAGCTCTGGTACTGGCATGCATTTCATACCCACAGGTGTCTGCTGGATGGATCTCTAAGCCTTAGTTTGTAAAACTGAGCATAAACTTTTCAAAAAGAGCTTTTTCTCAGTGTTTTCTAACATTTCCAAGGCCTGTCCCACGTGGGTTTTTCTCCCTTATAGGGCAAGTTAAAATATGAAAATTCTTTACTCTGAAAAATTACAATTTTTTGATTAAATGATTGAAGGTGAAAAAAAATGAATTTCCGTATGACTCAAATCAAAGGCTTTTCTTGCAGAATGCTTTATTTTGATCCACATAGCCCATAAGGTATGCTCTGAGGGATGAGAATATTTTATATTGTTTGAAAAGGCTTTCATCTTTGAAGCTTTGAAATATTCTACTGGTCTTTATTCTGAGCATAGATCCAGTTCCATAGAGTTAATGAAGAGTCTTATCCCCCAAGCAGATCAAGTGATTACAATAAGAGTTAAGAGACGGATGAAGATCAGCCTTGTAGGCACTTCCATTTAGGCATTGCGACACTTAAGAAATAGGTGGTGTTACTTAGAAAGACAAGCCAAATACATATGATTAGGGTCCCAGCCTTCCTTTAGAGTCAGTGGAAAGAGTTTGTCACCACTGAAGGATGATCCAGAGTGCTTAGATCAAGATAGCCTATTATTTTTTTCATCAACAAAAAATGAGTGAAAGCTAAGAGCTGCTAATGAGGGGTGCCTTGAGTCTAAAAAGGTTGAGAACCACTGAGTTACAGATAGACCTGGCCAATAGGAAACACTAAGCTCTCCAGTGTATCTAAACTTCTGCCTCTCCCTTCAGAGCTTAGTTGCCTAACTGAAGACTAGATATTGGGTGCCTCTGTCATCTTTTGATGCAGGCTTGTCAGAGGTTAGGTGTCTATTTGACTTCTGCTTGCAGGGAGGCCCACATTTTCAGCTAACTTCCTAGTGGCTGGAATCCTCACCCAGGAAGTGAAAGATCTGGGTTCTAGCCGTGCTCAGATTGAGAGGGTTCAAACCCACCTCTTCCACTTACTGAGAGACTGGCCTAACTATAAACATATAGGAAAGCCTTTGTGGGTTCACTCTTCACTTTTTCTATAGGATCTGAGCATCAAAGAATGCAATTTTATGGGACTGGAAGGACAGCAAGAAAAAGAAGGCATGGCTGTAGCCCAGAAATGATGATACTCCTCTGATATTGAGTAAAACAGGTTTTTGATTGTCTAATATAAAATGCATGCACGCTTTTCGCAACAAGGAATACATTCTGACATGTATATGAAGCACCTGTATACTTTTGTGGGCATAATTCTTAGTTCCAAATTAATAAAGCTTGTTTTTTCGAACTTAGTCAAATAGGATTGATCGTTATCTTTCTGGTGTGTATACATTTATAAGTGATTAACTTCTAGAACTCTAGAAGTAATTCTCAGCCAGGGTACTGTGGCACCTTGGGGTACTGTGAGATCCTTTTAAGGGTGCTACAAGTTTCTATGCAACTTAGTACTGTTTAGTGTGCAAACACCTACACGATTCACAGGACGAGCCCAGAGATTTCAAATAGGAATCCATAATGTCAAAAACATTCTGACCTGTCATATTCTTTCTAAGCAATTTTGAGACAGAATTGCTCTATTATTTTTCTGTCTTCAAAAATGAATGAAAGCTAACATCTGGTATTTTCCAAGGAGTTATTTGAGTCTGAGAGGTGCCTTGAATCTAAAAACACTGAAAACCACCAACTTAAAACTTGTAAAAATATAACCAACAGATACTATGATTTGAACATTCAACTCGGACTAATGGACAAATATTTATAATAAGATTTGTTTTGGACTTCAATAGGTAACTCTTTACTTGTTTATAATGTCATTTTTCTGTCTCCCTGTGTTTCATTATTTTTATTTCAGTGAACTGTTTGCCTCCTGATGAACCTTGTGCTGATACCATGACCTGCATAAAAAAAGACTTATTTTGTGATGGAGTACCAGACTGCCCAGACGGTTCAGATGAAGCTGAAAAAAGATGTGGTAAGAATGTAAATCAGTCTTTACCAATCAATCTTTAACTCGGTTTGAACTGCTCAGTATACTCTACAGTACTCGGTATACTCTTCCAAACCTGGCCAATTAAAAGTACGGTTAAAGGTAATTTTGTACTTAAGATTGTGTGTAAAGATACAAATGTGTTTGAATATACTTTAAGGTGTAATGATAGGAGGCAGTCAGCTGGTTGTCGGGCACCTAACCTGCTGGTGCAGGGGGAACCCAAGGTCACGATCCTGGGCCAATCCCACTATTGCACCTCCTGCCATACACATGTGCCATGGTAGGAGGCACAACTGTCTGGCCCATGGACCAGATCCAACTGAAACTTCAAATGAATATCAGGGGCCTTAAAATCTTTCCCTGGTATCTTAGACATGTTTTCCCTCTTATTAGAGGTTTATTATTGGAGTTGGTCAAATCATGCAAATAATAACTCAAGAATATGGCCTTGGAATAAAGGCAGAAAAAACTTGTTCTGCTGCCTTTTAAAATATATTAGTTATTGTTATTGGGTGCATCTACATGTATAATTAATGTGAAGAGAGAAAAGCTCCAGAGCTGTTGAACCAGAGTACACCGCTCCAAAGCATAGCATCTACACGTGTGCCTAAAGCAGCTGCAATTTGAGCCTGGGCACAGCAGGCCCAGGGTTGCAGCAGGCTTAGGGAGCCATCCCTGGGTTCCGGGTGGCAGCATCAGGTGGCAGAATGGCTGGCTGAGGCACAAGAGTCCTGAAAGTGTAGAGCTATGTGGTTAGGTGGCAGGCAGGAGTGTGGTCGCTGCTGCCTGGGTTAACCAAGCACAATTTATGCCCACAGTCACCTTCCACACATGCATCTAATTTCAGTTAATTACTCCACTGCAAGATAGTTCCACCAGGGACAGTACTATTTCACAGTAGAGTTAATTAATTTACTACACCTTAATACCAGAGCATGTGTAGATGGTGATGCTTTACTGCAGAGCTAATCAATCTACAGACAACCCCTGCTTAGCAATCTTAATTGGTTCCTGAAAAAAAGAGCATTAAGCAAAACAAGCGTTAAGTGAAACTGAAAATATTTGACTCAAGATGGTGACCACAATTGTTTTTAATGACCCAAGATGGCAACCACAAGTGTTATAATGAAACTCACTGAGCAATAAGTAAAATCAGGTATTAATTTAAAATGAGCATTATAGCGAAATGGCGCTAAGTGAAACAGCATTAAGCGAGGGTTGCCTGTATTCTACAGTAAAGTGAACGTGTAGATGCACCCATTAAGTACTTGGATACTAATCACATTATTTGAAAATGTTGACAAAATCAACTTTAGCACAATTTTTCACAAATCTGAGGAAATTTCACAAAATTTTAGTCTGAAACTTAGGTTGGTTGGATTTAACCTTGTCTAGATCATTTAATGCTGGTGGTCCATATTCTTTAATTTTTATGCCATTATTTTTGTGTGCGCCTCATAGGATTTTTCAGTTAATCTTATTTTTGCCATATACCTGTTTCTGGCTGTATACTTGATGTATAAGTATGGTACTGTTATAAAGGAAATTAGTTACTGTTATTACTTTCATTATACATTAAGTACAAGCCCAGTCTTTTACTAATACTTAGATTATAGCATGCAAAACAGCTTATGTTCAAATTCTTCCAACATCTATTTCAATTGTCCATGTACCTGATTTTAACCTATCATCATGAAAGCAACTAGGAAGGCATTATCTTTGTTATTCTATCATAAGAAAACGTTGGATTAATAGCTTTTAGTCCCCTGTGTATAACACTTGCACAGAGAGAAAATGAATATACAAGAGGATGTTTTTAGAATTTCTCTGAAGAGTTTTATCTGTAAAGCATGTTTGACTAGTGGGAATTATGCTGCTAAAATCCTTCATGCATGAAACCAAAATTTTACTTTTCAAAATAAGGGTACATTAACTGTATTTTTCATATTAAGTTATTTTGATGTCTTGTTATAGGAATATATGTGTGTGTATTATTAATGTTGTATAGGGTATATACTTATTAAACTCCAGATGGGGTTTTCCAGACAGATGAATCTGAAATGAATAAGAATATCTTTCTTCTAATTTCAGGCTAGCATAAGGAACTTTTAAAAGTCTTAGCCTCTAAAAGAAGTAACAGTATTTTCATTGAATCATGGGAGGAGTATTTTGTATGCAAAGAGTCCATATTGCATTTAGATATAAACACTTATAGATATATTAAAGAACCTAACACCATTTCCCAAAGTGTCTGAGACATTGTTGTCCAGTGCAAAGTTACTTCTAAAAGTCAGAAGCAAATTTACTCCAGAAGAAGTAACTCCTTTATATGCATCATATGTTGACTGCCCTTGTCGATCTCACTTTGGAGTAGCTATATGCTCAATACAGACTTGCCCCCCGCATCCCTTTCATACACACAAAAGCACGTGCGTGTGCGCACGCACACACACACACACACACGCACACACACACACACACACACACACACACACCCCCCCATGGCTAGGTACTGTAATAGTACCTACTTTAGGCAACCAACTTGATAAAATATGGAATAAAATCCATAGTAAGCTTACTGTGGCTTTGCACTCTTAGTTGCATCAAAATAAAAGACGTGTTTGACTTGCCACCGAGTAATAAATTCAGGTTGTGTTCACAATTTTTGCTTATATTTTGTAAAGATCTGACAGTTAACATTTTTTTTTTTAAATAAGAGAGGATCGGGTACAAACTTTGACCATAAAGCTCCTTTTAAAAATCAGCAGTTTCTCACTCACAGGACGCATCCAAACAAGTGTGCAAGTGCAGTTTGTGGCACCACAGACCCAGCTGTGGTGCTATAAACCACATGCGCCACACACGCACACATTTGCTGCGCAGCTGTTTTGCAGCACAGTGGCTTTTCTGACACAAGGTGATCCCAGTGTTAAAAAAAAAAAAAAAAACTGTGGCAGAAAAAAGTGGGGCATCACACACAGAAGCAGGGTGCACCACCTGAAAGTGGAGCCTGGCCAGCCAGAACCATGCTCCAGCTTTTGGCCAGGCTCTGCACACCTGGATTGCCACTTCTGGAGCCCTGGGAGGCCCCAGGTAAGGCTAGATGCTGGGGCCTAGATGCTGGCCCCAGCCTCCCCTACCCCACCCAGAGTAAGTTGTCGCATGCCACAGTGTACATGCCGGGGAAGATCTCAGGGACACTTAGCAACACAACTGTGTGCTGCTGCTATTTATCTCTTGCAAAATGCATATGCACACTGTCACCTACATGTGCGATTAGCATGCAGCAATAAATGTTTACATGTTTACATGAGGTGTATACACATGCATCCAGGACCACAGAAGTTAGAGCCAAGGTGGAGCAGCCCTGGGCTGACAGCAGGCTCAGTGGGGAGGAGGGAGGCAGAGATTAGGTGGGGAGGTTAGCTGTAGGTTCCAGGTCAGGGCATCAGGCAGTGGAGGGGCTTGTTGTGGCACAAGGGTGCTACAGTGTGGGGGCTAGCTGGCAGGCAGCCCCCACACTGTAGCACCCTCATGCTCCAGCCAGTCCTGGTCAGCAACTACACTTTTGTCATGGCAGTGTAATCTCATCCTAAACAGTACTGTCCTATGGCAGAGTTAATTTACTGTGCTCTAATATGGGCACAGTAAATGACAGATAATGCCACTTTACTGCAGATCTAATTATTCAGCTCTGCAGTAAAGAGCTCATGTAGGTGCACCCCTAGTAACATTTTTCCAGATCAGAATGTATAGACTTAGATACAAAGTCCATAATTTGTTATGTCTTTGCATTAAAAGAAAAGCACATCAATAGAATATTGATAAAGAAAAGATTAAGAGTTACAGCAAACTATAGGGTAGAAGCTTTGATGTCCTTTTCCTTAGTTTCCACCTAGTGAATCAAGTATCCAAACTATTCTTTTTAGTTCAGTTTCCTTAAGAACTGCAGTTCAGAGCCTTATGGGAATAAAAGTCTGGCTGGAGGACATGTGCAGCCCATCGCCTTCATGTTAGATTTTGACTCTTTAAAATTTGTGTTCAAAAGTAAAGAGTTTTTCCAAGCTTCCATATTTAGACTTCTTAACAGAGTTTGCAGAGCCAGCGTAGAGAATGGCAATCAGCCAGATGCACATTTGGGACACCTGCCAAGTTTTCCACCCCTTTGATTTTTTTTCACTCATATCCCATCCCCAGAGTGACTTAATACAGCCGTATAATAGCTAAAATTGTCTGGCTTTTCAGAAGCACTGCAGAATTTTACAATGAGATTTACAGCCAACTTATAATTCTTGTTACAAGAGCTCTTGCACCCAAAGGCACTATTTCCTTTTAAACAACTAAGTTGGGGTTTTTTTTTCT